GTCATTCGTTCCCTTGACTTTATTTTAATGACGCCATATGGCATCACTCGGCTCTTAAAGGTTAATCAAATATTTGCACTGAAACCAGTAATAAAGAGAAATACTGAGAATAAGAAATGGATATCAGAAGGAATAAAAATATCTTGCCTGAAAATGAGGTTTTTAAACGATTAAAACAGAGGATAGCTTTGCCAATCGAAATAGTAAGCTATATCAGTAGTTATCAAAGGATATATAAAAGGGTTATTTTAGAAGCAAAAAAGAGACAAAATGATAAATGGGTAGAAGGGGCATCTAACCCAAATAAAATAATATGGCAGATAATAAATAAAAGAATGGGCAACGTAGGAAAGGATGACCAGGAGATGCGGTTACAAGGATATAACAGGAAAATATCCCACTCCCAGGAGGTGGCTGACACACTGAACTCATATTTTATAGAGAGAGTTGAAGAACTCATGGAGGAAAACAAGAGTAAGACCAAAGAAATATCGTGAAAAAAGTTGTAACAGGAAACCCAAATTCAATGTATTTTTGACCAATCTCGGAAGAAGAAATTGTCGTAGAAGCATCTAAATTATAGGGCAAAGCCTCAGTAGGAGCTGATGGAAACCCAGATTTTCTTATAAAAATATGCATCACAAGTATAAAAAAACCACTCAGTTTTATATTTAATGAATCAATAAATCATTTCCCTCATTTACTGAAAATTGCAAAGATCAAGCCAATTTACAAAAGAGGAAACAAACATGAAGCGAGTAGCTATAGACCTATATTGGTGTTATCAGTATTCTCAAAGATCTTGGAAAAAATATTATACAATTGACTGGTGTCCTTTACAGCTACATTTAAAATATTAACTGAAAAAGAATATGGATTCCAAAAAGATAAATCAACAATATCAGCATATCAGTCATTTATCAGGAAGATACAAGAAGCTTTGGATAAGAATTTACTACCAGTGGGTATTTTCTTTGATTTAACAAAGGCTTATGATGTTATTAACCATGATATTTTGCTAGAAAAATTAGAGCATTGTTGGATAAGAGGGCAAATTAATACCTGGCTAAAATCATATCTAACACTGAGGGCACAATATGTGGAATTAATTTCTAAGGGCAACAGGGACTGTATGACTCATTTTAATTCAAAAATAAGGACTGTAAAGGTAGGATTCCACAAGGGTCAACCTTGGGCCCATTTTTATTTTTGATTTACATAAATGACCTACGCCTCCATATAACTAACGGGGAAGTGGTGCTATTTGCAGATGATACCAGTATACTGGTAATAGTCAGTCCTGGAGCTACCTCCGAGTGAGTCCTCGAGCTACCTCCGGGTTGGTTCCGAGTTAGCCAGCAACCAGTCAGTTGTATTGTGGCATTTGGAGTGTACTAATTGTGATACTGCAGATAGCAGTAATCGTAAATCTGTAATTTGGGTGATTGTAAATGCGAATGTGAAATCAAATTCGCTATATAAAATACGGCGTGAAGTTATTTGTCGCGATATACGCCCAATACGCGACAACTGGTGTCAGAAGTGGGATTTGGACTTGCACACGTGACCAACGGGATTTGGACTTACACACGTGACCGACGAGTTTCGAACTCAAGACACGTGACAATTTGGTATCAGAATTTTTACGAGCTTAGATACGCCTCAAAGAATAATTAAACGTACGACTGCTCCGACTATTCTACTGCTACAAAATGGAGAAACAAGATATGCAGCGAATAATCGAAATGCTGCCAAGAATGGACGCCGACATGAAAACCCATCAAGAAGAGATGAGGGCAAACCAAGCAAAAGCCGATGCCGACAGAGTGCGAATGGAGACCAGCCAAAAAAAAAGACAGAGAAGATTTCCTGGCGAAGTTAGAATTCAATCAAGAAAAAGCAGATAGCATGCTGACGAAATTAGACGCCGACTTCAACGCCTGGCTGGAAGAGACGACAGCCTGCCAGGATGTAATGGAGAAAAATCCAAGAGGAAAAGCGGTTGTAGTTAACCGACAGTCGATTCCGAATGAAGACAATGAGACGTTGGCCTGCCCAGAAAGGGAGGCACGTCCTGAAGAAGAACAGCCGACTTCAGCGAACAGGAAACCTGAGGCGGCAGAGCTACTAGAGGTACCTGTACAAGACGCCGAAGTAATGCCGGTCAGAGAACCGAAGAAGAAAAGGCGCAGGGACCGCAATCGACGAAATATGGAGAATTTGACATGGGAAAGTTGTGGACCCCAGAATAAATTGGCCGTCATCAGCAGGAGGGTGTCCCGCTCTGCAAGAGTGGCATGGCGCAAGAGGAACATCTTCAGGAAATCTTGGACCCGAGGAGATCATGCGTCCCGGATAAAGTTGGCTGCCATCTGCAGGCAGATATCCCGTCGCGCGACAGTGG